AAATCAGTAATATTAAGTGTTCAGAAATCTCCCTTTCACTACTGCTGCTTCTGGAAGATAAGAAAAGAGTTTGTTCTAATAATAATTAAACATATGTCATGTCTTGCATGTGTCGTGCATTACAATGAAAAGTGAATATATTTTTTAATTGCTTTTCAAAAATAATACCAGTATTTTTATTGCTGTGCCTTTGAAATGACCATGCACAGATAGCTATGGCATAGGTACCTTGATTTAGCCAGAATGATTTGGGGTTTGAATTTTTTTTTCCTAATATTCCTTGGACTTTCTCATTGAAAACGAAGAAGACCTATATTTTTGTTCCAATAATTTTCAAAACTAAAAAGACATTCTTGTGCTTTAACACTCCACTTGGATGCTAACAGTCAGATAATGTTATTTTATTCATAAACAATGGGAAATCCATTAAGATAAATGATGTTTTCTGCATACTAGAAGAAGATGTGTTTAGCTATACCAAGTAGTGATAGATGACACACTTTTGTTTCAAGGTAATTAATAAACCAATAAAGAATATCAAAAGTTATATGGAAGTTCTTATGTATTTATAGGCATCTATGGCAATCTACAAGGTCAGAAGTTTTTCAAAGGTCTGCAAGTAATTCCACAGGGTACCCAATCTTTTCAGTCTTGGAAACAGATTGTGTACTAATGCTATTATTATGGAGTACTTTGTCTTAAATCAGAAGTGTCCAAAGGCCACTCAATGTGTATCATTAACAGTTATGTAAAACTTTTCCAAAAATGTGGATGTTTGTAGCTAGTCAGGGCAAACCATGTGACACACATTGGTAAAAGTAAGTACCCTGTATTGATAAAAACTGACACTTTTAAGATATTCCAGTTTGTCACTACATGTGCATTTGTAGATGTGGTGGACAGCTGGTCTTACTCTGATGTTACACTGCATTACATGTAAAAATATGCCAGCAAGTTCTCAGAATCAGAGAATTAACACGTGAGTATTCCTGCCTTACCCCCACTGCCATCTTCAAAAGGAGCCCAGAACTGGAAACAAGCATCAAAATGAAAGGAGAAGGGAACTCACCACACACACCCCACATCCTTTGTAGACATCTGAAATTGTGTTGAAGGTGTAAGGTAGAGGAAGCTTAGTGCTGCTGGCAAGGAGCAAGGTTGGAAGGAAAGTTGCTGGGTAACAGTCTTTTTCCAGAAAGGAGTCAGGTGTTGGGCTGGTGAACCAAAGTTGCAGTTTGCAAACAAAGACTTTCTCTACTGTGTAGAGAAGAGGAAGTGCAAGGCAGGACATAAGACATGTTTCTGCATCCTGCTCTGAGAACATACTTAGCAATGATAAGTTTGTGTTGTGAAACTCTGCACTACTGTACATGAGAGATTTAAAGGTAGAAACAAAAAATTAAATACTTTTGATATATTAAAATCTATCTAATGTAATCACTGAAGTGCATTTGATGTGCACAGTATTTACCTTATGCTGCAGGAGAGAAAAATGCCTAGGCAGAAAGAATATAGCAATACTGGTTGGTGAGGACCAAAAAAGAACATGATGTAGGATTTCTAACAGAAAACACTTTCTGACCAATGTATCAAAAGTAGCTCTCTCTGAAAGATTTGATATGGTACACGTCAGCCTTCCACTTAATGAAATAATTATCTATCTCTGAGCTACTGCTTTCAAGCTACTGCTTTATCTTGCTAGCAAGATGTGTATGTTAATGTATATTTGCATACATTCTGTGACTCATAGAACAGCTTGTGTTTTTTTCTGAAGCAGTAATTGAACCAAAGTTGTTTTCATCAGGTGCAGTTGCACTGTCCAGTGCAGTCATGGGGCAGGTCCTGGGAAGGCCAGCTGTGCTGTGCATTTTCTTTCCACTCCTGTCACAGACATGAGAAGTGCCAGAGCTGAGAGCAGTAAAGCTGTGCTGTACACACACATGCAGACCCCTGACTAACATGTATAGGAAATGCTTAATGCAGTTTCCCTTTGAAACTCTGCTTTTGATGCAGATGATGTGCTGAGAACTCACAGGAAGAAACCAATAAAAAATATGCCTGAAGGGATGATTCTTTATCCCTTGTTGACACCGGTTAGCCTAGAGTGAAAAGGGCACCATGCACAGCAGCTTTCAGCTTGTTTTAAAGGGTCTGCTAAGAAGGGGCAACTTCTCTGTTGAACTTCCATGCAGTACTTAGTGTAGCAAAACAAACCTGCTCATGTCAGAATTATATTTGTTCTCGCTAAGTATCGCCCTCTTAGAGGTAGATGGCTCTGTGAAAGCAGCATCCACCCACATGGCAAAATCTCTTTCACTACAAGTTGGAATGCCCTTGTTTAACATCAGCACTGTATTAACTATGCTGGTACACAAATTGCTTCTCTGATACATTTGGTCATTTTTATATTTAGAAGTATGTTAAAATTCTGACTGAGAACAAGCCATCTCATTTAGCTTCTAAAATTAAAAGTCTTTTAAAAATCTTGTTTGTTTTCTTAACCTAATTAATTGGGACCCTACAAGACAAATAAAAGAAAAAGTATGTTAGTTTATGCACAGCTTTATGCATCAATAAGTAAATCAGAGGAGTGCCATGAGGTAATTTAAAATATTATTTCCCTTGAACTAGAAAGTCTCAATAAGCTGAGAAAAATGTGAGACTGATCTTCACAAAAGAAAAAACATAAAATTTTTAAATCTAATATTTACTTCACTTTTGTATGTGTCTATTTCTTATACTTCTGTGGAAAGAGAGTCTTTACCATCCTCTCAGACAATATTGCTTAGATTTTACTCAGTGGGATATGTAATTGATAAAGCATAAATCAGCAGCTGCTAAAGCAAGAAGGAAATGCTAAAGGCAGGTGAGTGATCCATCAGTAGCAACAGTGGCATCAGATACTGTCTTTGCATGTAGTATTGAAGATCTGCAAAGGCAAAGAAAATAAATCTCTGGAACATGGATGAGGTCACTGTGGCTCTTTCCAAAGAGCTACTGGTTTAAAACCTCTATCTGACAACAAGCCAGAAAGCATTAATTTGGCCAGTCCACAGCCCACCACATAGGTGGTGTTCCTCATCTAAAAAAATATGCAGTAGTCCCTCCTGAAAAGTAGATGCTGACAGAGGGAGGAGGATAGAAGCCCAAGTGCCCTAATTCAAGTCTTTATTGACATCACTAAGGTCATGGGAGAAGAAAGCATTCCTGCAACCCCTACTATAAAAGCTGTGCTGTTGGTAGATACATTTTTTCCCTTGTGTTGGTGAAGGCAAGTTTGTAATTAGCTATGTGTTTTATCACAAAAGATTGCTAGAAGATTACCCCTAAAATTTTGGCTGATATTCAGACTGGATGCTGTTATAATCTGATACTTGTGCAGTGAGGCCAGATATTAAGGTTACTGTGAATCTGACAACCATAGAAGACCATCATTTCTGTGCATTGCTGAAAACTCCCTATACTGCAAGAAGATCAGATACAGGAGAGGAATTTGAGTGCAGCAAAATTGTCTTGACTTCATTGTCTGAAGCACAGTCAAGTTTAGGCTGGTCATTTCTGACCACTTCCTAGGCATTTTGGGTTTTTTATTTAAAGAGAGGCTTTGAAGTCAGCTGTGTACATTCTCCAAGAGTTTAATTTTATTAACAGGTCTATGGCTAGGTAGTCCATCAGATATCTGCACTTTGGGACGTCCATAACTGACTCCCACTTCCTTTCTCCCTGGCCCAATTAATTCTGATCTGCTGGAGTGCTGCAGGGATCCTACTACCTTCATCTCTTCTGAGGAACAGTGACTTAAATGTAACAAGGATGGAGGGCTTGAGGGAGCAAAGGGTATTTTATATTTGTCCATATTGTCATTAATTTGCTCTAACTAGGGTTGAAATGTAGAACAAAGGCTCTTGGACACGAGGATGCAAGTATGAACTGGTGTATGTTAAAAGTAGTATCTGAGTATTTAAGAAGAAACAGAATGATATAATTTGTGAAGCTGCTTAACTGAATTGCTGTCCATTGATTACTTTTCTACTTCCACCATATTATTTGTATGTATTTTTCAGCAGTTGCAGTATTTTTTCTTGGGCCTTAGAAATCTCTTTTGGGGCAAATCTTAGCCTCTCATCTCTGAGGTCATCTGAAGATTTCCTGAGGCTGCTATTGTATGAATAATCAGCTGTCTCCCTTAAGAAATTCTCTTTGTTCTACATCATTAAATGCTGACTCCTGCTGCTGCTATGACAGATCACTTTGCAGGAATCTAAAAGGGGAGTTGTCTCTGATCTTAACAGTGAATCTTTGCTGTGGAATAAAAGAATATGCTGAAGCAAGCATGAGAAAATTTTAATTTTTAATATTTTAACACTGAAAAATAATAAAGGATGAAGCTGGTCAAAGTTTACCCATTTTGAGATCTGTACTCCAAAAAGTGAAGAAGGGCTTCTAAAACACTTTTGAGTAATTTTGTGCCTAGGAATATTATTTGTCACTCCCATCAAGGCAGCAGTGAGATAGTAATTTGGCAAGGAGAAGGGGAAAATACAATAGGCTAGCCCAGAATTCTCAATAAGAGCATCTTGCTATAGGCAGCCTGTAGATGAAAGGAAAATGCTTCTTTCCAAAGCATGAGTGATAGCTTCTAGTGAAGCACAGTAACCTAAATGACCTGAAGTTTTGTTCTTCCACCTCAGCCTTTTTGGCATGAATTCCTTTCCCACATATTTCCCTGACCACTGAAGGTGTTTGCTAACTCTGTGCTTTAGGTACTCAAGAGCACCATGTCTAACAGATGCCTTTGTTAAAAGCTTTCCTGCTAATCTTCAAAAAACAGAGATATTCCCAGTAGTTCCCTCTTTCTCTCGGTCTGTATCCAAATACCATGTAGCCAGCATCTTGTGCCTGTTTGGCCATTTTCTGTCTGCTCTCAATATGCAGCCTCTCAATATTTCTCTGTTTTCAAAATTTCCTGCTTTCTTTGCTAATGTTGAAAGAGCGCCAAAATGGGCAAATCTTGTGCCTATTTTTGTGTGTAAATAGGTTTGAAACTGTGACCCACCAGAATAAGTTTTTATTCTGCAATGCTTTTAAACAGCAGCTATTACATACCAATGTGAATCCATTTGAAATGGACTCCAGTGCTGGACTCCTTCCTAGGCTATATCATGCCATCAGGTTGGCATACAAGATCTTACGGTGCCCTGCGTCTGAAACACACTGTCCACGTTCTTTTTGTCCTAATGGTTGTTTTCTGTCTTGCAACTTACTTTGTGCATGTGTTTTGTTTCAGTCTGTTTGTTTCTGTAACAACATCTCTTGTGCCATTTGTAGCAACAACATTTGGGTGCTGGTTTTGTAGATGGTATGGTGAGGTGATGCTCATGGCATGGCAGAAATGGTCACCTGAATGAGGGACTTGCCAGTGGTGACTCTGCATCGTTGCAGATAGCAGAGAATGTTGTTGTTTCATTCTATTTAGCTTTAAGTCAGTCCATGTTCTATCTGAAGCTCCTTGGTTTGAAGAAAATTTGGTTCTGCTAAGGAGGAAAAATGGAAATACCTTCATTCAATGTGTATGTTTCCTCACCTGAAGCCCCTTGGCTGGATTTTCTACTGCACTGTCACAAACCCCATCAATCTCTTCAATTTCTTCAGAAGGAAGAGAGGATTTGCAGGTTAACCAGCTGGAAACGCAAATATGGATAAAACCAGACATACAGAAGACAGATGTGGACTTTTCAGAAATTCTTAATGCAATACAAGAAAGTAAGTTCTTCCTTGGATGCAAAATTGTGTTTACAGTAGAAGATTCAATTGAGATGTATTGAAATTATGACTGAAGGCAGACCCAAAGTGATGAACTGAATGATAAGTATCTATTATTAAAATCTCTTAGGAAGTGCAATGGATTATTGGAGGCTAGTTAAAAATCTTTTACTATCAGAGAAGTCATAGAAAGATTTGAATTACTGTGTGCCAAAGGATTCCAGCAGTATATATTTTCTATGCAAACATAATCAGAAATAGTAAGATTCCTGGTAGTTTATTCAGTGCTTTGCACTCCTGAGTAGCTGTGTGAACTAATAATATTATTAAAATGATGCAGTTGCAGTTTGAAGACTGGATTTGATGTTCCAGTTCTTCCAAAGTTTTGGGCTGTACTCACTTTTTTGCAGCTGGTACTTTTTGGGAGAGTCATGAGGTTGTCACAACAAGTGAAGGTCCATGTGTCTTAGATGCTGCACAAAATGATCTCTTTTTATGTGTAATGGGCTGTGGACTAAGAATTAATTGGTTCACCCTTCTTAAGTCCAACTGCAGAATGATCTCAACACTTGTGCTATAAGTAGAGCTACTCTTGTTAATAACAGTGGAAGACACCCCCCCTACCCAAAACTGATGCAATTCTGGAATCCAATAAAATCTGGAATTTCAGCAAGAATTTTTCCTAAGAGTTTGAAATTCTTATGCAGGCTGAGAGTCAAAATGCAAGCCATGGCTTCCTGGCTTCCTTATTTTCCAGTTAGATTTTAAACTGGGTGTTTGGTATAGCAATTTTCTAGAGTGGGAAACAGCAGCTTACATTTTAGAGTGCTAAAGGATGAATAAGAATGTATAAAAACCCAGACTCTGACTGATATTTGCCACATGAATAAGGAACCACACAGTGGTAGAATCAGGCTGTTTAGTGGTGGTACTAGTTTAGGGGTGGAAGGAAAATGCTCAGGATAGATGATGGGGGTAATAATTTGAAATTGAATCACCTTATTACTTAAGCTACAGGTTTAGGATGAATTCCATGTTTTCTGATTTAAAAAGCTTTTCCCATCAGAAATCTTAACGTGAGGTTTTGTCTTCTCCCTTCTCCACACCAGCACAGCCCAAATTTAGGCCTGGGGGCAGTCAGGATGCAGACTGGAGAGGCTGAAAAGGCACTGCAGAGTCTTTCAGAGGTGAATAGACAAAATGGCTAAACATGGATAAGCAATTTAATCTGGGAGTGCTTCAAGAATTTACATTTTGATTTATGGATTATTCACAAGCATTTTGAGAAGGATGCAGCTTTTACAGCCTGGGAGAGAGTGTTTTTTCTTTATCCAGACACAGGTGCTGTGGGGAAGTTAACCTGTATGTCCTTTAGCTACATCTCCTTCATCAAAGACAGAAGGAATTCTGTACAACCCACTTTGCAGAGGCTTGTTGTGTGCCATGGAGGGTGTTGTCACCTGCAGTCTGTTGCAAATACCATCTATTTGGGATAACCATGTCTAAATATTCCTTCTAGGGTAGTTGCTCTGAACAGTCGATGTTACTTTTATTCCCAGTTGTTAGCATTGAATGATAATTTGAAAAAGGCTAATGATGCTTTTAGAAACCAAATATTTCTTTTTCTTGCTAAAATAAGCTTGGAGCATTGATCTTCAGCTAGCATTATCCAAAGTGAGAGTATACCTGGTGGCTTGGTGGGACTTCTGCTCATAAAATGACAATGAACAGAAGCATGATCTCTGAGCATGTTTCCATCTTCTCACACAATAACATAGTCAGGTTCCACTTTTTAAGGAAAGTTCTTATTTAGGCACTTCAGTTTCAGCATCCACCTTCAGAAAGTTAAAAGAGTTCTCTTGTTTTTTGAGTCCTACCTTATATCAGCATCTTGATCTGAAGTGACTTGTGGACCCATTGAGATGGTGTATGGACTCCTGCTCAGAATTTATCAGCATGCAGTTTTCAGAATATGTAGTTCTACTATATTTTGGATAAAAATATTTCTATACACACTTTTTTTTCCCTTTTATTCTTCAAGGGATTCTGAATTATCAAGTCATTTTAAATTTTTTTCCTGCAAAATAGAACATGAGGGGGAGAAAAGAGTTTGCATATTTAAGCTGATCTAAAACCAGAGGGAGAATTTTTAATATCTCCTGTAGCAATGCATGCGCTGCTCTGTATTCCTGTTAAATTTCACTGCTTAAAAATACATGACTGTACAGTAGCAGCAGTCTGTCTCCCAAATAACATTTATGTATATAACAAAGCCATTATATTCTGTTAAGGACATTTGTGGGTATAAGCACTCAGGGTCTGAAGGGGACAAGAAAGATGGAGCCCTGATCATCCTTTTAACAACATTTGGCTATAGAGGTGTTCAGTCCATTGGAGTGGAAAGGCTGAGCTACCTACAAGCAGCAGGAGAGTTTTGTTGGAAGTACCATCACCATTACTAATGTAAAGCACACAGGAATTGCTATATAAATTATCTACTTGATTTTGTAGAACAATATTTTATCAATTTATTTTTAAGAATATAAGGAGACTTGGTATAGAAAAATTGTCTCAGCAAATGCTGGAGGCCCATATTTTCTGTAGTGACCAACCAACATTCCAATTATCTGTGTATCTCTGATATAAACAATTTTCCACTGCAGGCAATCTGGACAAGTCCTGGTACCTAATTTCACTAACCAGATGAGAGTTGCTTCCACGACTTCTTCACTGCTGAGATGGATTGTATTTTAATATGATCTTAAAATAAGATTTTTTTGGCTCCTCACAAGTCCTCAGGATAATCCAGTCATTCAGTGTTTCAAGGCCACTGACACATTCACTGTCATACGCACCAAACTCTGTATCTCAAAACATCCACTTAAAAAACTATGAATTTTGCAGCCCAAAGCATTACCAGCACTTCAAGAAGCAGCAGTTCTAGTATCCCAAAGGCCTCATCTTTTATCCCAAAGCAATGTTAATGTCAGAACAAAGATAGTTTAAATTCCCTTGGGGGTAATAGCGAACAGGCAAAACTTTCATTTTTACAGCTTTCATTGATGCTGTCTGCAACAGATAAATAATCTACAGAAAGCTTCAGTATTTAATTATTTTTTGGGGTTTTTTCACAGTTGTTTTCAGATTACATGAAGTTTTAACCGTATACAGATTCAGGTGTCACTGTCATGGAGGCACTGATGGGTTTCAATTCAGTGAAATTCAAGCAATTCAAAATGTTTTCTGTTTCAGTTATTCTTTCTGTTGAATATTGAGATTTATTCTTCTCATATGAACAGGTGTGCAAAATCTGGTCATGATCTACATCCACATTATTATCTGATGGGGTGGAATGTTTCTAGTTGTGACTTTTGAAAGAGTAGGGACAATGAAAGGCATGAGGTTAGGCTGTGCTATGCTTTGTTGTGGCAGTTCACCTCTCTTTTATAAGCATCTCTAGTATGGTTTTTGTGGACTGAAATGAATTAAGGTGGGAAAAAAAATCTGTAATATTACTGCTACATGTGCTACAAATTGGAATCTCTTTGTTGCCTTTTAAGCCTCCTAAAGCCTCTGTGGTTTCCCCTAGGACACTGAGGAGCTGCAGGCTTTCATCATATATAACTAAACAAGACCAGAAATGCAGAATCTCTCTTACAATCTATGCTGCTTAGCTTAGCACATTAGCCTATTTATTGGACATGAGGACTTCTCTGTTGTTTCTGAAGCTTTTAGTTGTTTTCCAAACAAAACTCTTGTAGTTAAGAATACAATGTCTTTCATTAACCTTGTCCCTATTTCATGCATGAAAATGAAGATTAAGGATTCTTGAATATTTTGATAGGGTTTTCTTTTTTTATTACCTACGGATGTAATAATAGATTTTGGATGCTCTAAATGACACGTACAAAAAGGGAGAAAACTTTTCCTCATGCTCATGATTGACAGGGAAAGAGTAGTATATTTAAATTGCAACATATGTCTGTTTTAAGGATGAATATTATGGATAAGACTCTCCTGCTTGGGAGCATGAAAAATAGGCCACCTGCAGAGACTGAGAGTTGGTATCATCAGCGATTTTTAAAAAGGATTCTGAAACTGGGCTATGACCCCTGAAGAAGGGAAAGGTGAAAAAGAGGTCACAAAATGCTCATGATTGCTGGGAACAGTTAGTGGCTGTTAATTTCTGGCAGATTTCCAGTCTCTCCACAGTGGGGGAATGGATTTTTATACCTGCAGCCAGTAGTTAGGAATGGAACTAAGATGCTGCCAGCAATTAGAGCGTTTTGGCTGTTACTATAGATTCTCACCAACAGGAATTACAATTGCCTGTCACTAAATTAGGGGAGCTGAGGACAAGCAAAAGCAACAGGAGTTTATTGCACAAAAGAAGAATGATTCCAAAAGTCAGTCAAGCTTGCAAGAAATGTGAATAGGGATATGGGTTAGACTAATTTCTGTCAAGACTATTAGATATTTGCTCCCACTGTAGTCAGTGGAAGAGGCTCAGTAGCTAGGACCTTTGGAGGTGCCTTCTAACAGGTATAAGTCTACTTTGATAATTTTGGATTTTGCCTATGAGGCATGAGATTGGAGCGCTGAAGTCCATCCGCGGCTGAAGCGTGATCGTCAGCTAAGGCATTTCTCTTCTCCTGGCACACAACTCTTCATCATGTTTTTCACCAGACCTGTAGTGCATGGAGTGCAGAGTGAACCTGCCTGCCCTACTCCTCCCATCTGACAGTCACTCCAGAGTTTAATATCTATGCTCTTTGTTACTTTTTGTCAGGGTTGGTTTACCACAGCTTAAATCTGTAGTTGTAAGCAATTGCTTCAAGGCTGAGGGCTGCGTGGTAGGCGGATCTGAAAGTGTCAGATTTATATGTATCAAAACATGCCAAACTGTGAAAAGAGAAATATCTGACCAGGTTTGTTTACTCAATGCCTTTCAAGAAACAGTATTTATTTAAGGCTTTCTGCCTCTGGCTGCCCCATGGGTCTGTACAACTTCGAACTTCACACTTTGTATAGTAGGTTAAAAATCTGCTTCCTAAGAAACTTCCAGAGACAATACTAATCCAGAAGCTAGTCATTTAAGCCATTTGCCCCAAAAGAAGCTGAGGAGATAGCTAATGTCTGTTTTATTGTGACAGCAGATTGCTTATTTTTCATCGGAGAGGTGTTGTGGTGTCCTAAACCTTTATGTAGCTCATTGATGAAGAAAGCATTCCAACAACACTCATCAGATTTTAAGATTAAATGGTATCTAATTATACCAGAACTAAAAAGTGAAATTATTGATGGGTTAATAGTTGCTGTCTTCATTTGGTTCAGAGGTGATTTGAATGTATATTTTTGTTTTCTGTTTTTTAGTAGCTAAGGATGTGAACATTTTTTTTGATGAGTTAGAAGGTGTGAACAGCCCTTCCAAAGATGATGATTCCCTGCTTCACCATGGTAACTTGACCAGTACTTCTGACGATGCCAGCAGGCTGGAAGTTGTGGGAGAGGTAAGGACACACAGAATTATTAAAACAATATTTATTCATGCCCATTATAAAGATGTAATAAATGTAATTTGATTTAAAATCTCATTCTCTACATCAAATTGTGTCTAATCTTTCCCATGAGAACTGGTTTCCCATTCTAAGATTATAATGCTGAAATATAGAATATCTCAAATTCAAAAGTTTTGATTTCATGCACCCTCAGTGAAACATCTATACTAATCTAAGGCTTCAATGCTTCTGAAAATTCTAGAAAAGTTTTCCCTATATCCATCCTTTAAGGGGAAAGAGTGTGGAGGGGATTTATCTACAACTCCCATGAGAAGCATTGGGTGTCAGTTATGAGATGCATTCCCTTGCAATGAGGAACAATTATCACCTGATGGTGCATAATGGTGATTCAGAGAACATACCAGGGAGGAAATATTGAGAACACAATCCCTTTTAAAATCTGTCCTAAAGCAGGCAAAGTGTCATGGACCCATGATGAAAATTTGGGTCTTAATTTCTTCCTGTGTCTTTTATGAAGAAAGGAACAATATGCCCTTTAATTTTGCCTCCCACTGCCCTGACACCCATGGATGTTATGGTTGTTTCCTCAGCAAGTGAAGAAACCAGGGACTTTTCTCCCTTCCTCCACCTCAGGAATGGAGCTATTTTGAGGCACCTTACTGGACTGGTCTGATGTTACCTGCAAGTTTTTCCTGAGGAATTTTTGGCAGAGGGCTGACTGGAGCAGATCAGAACTGGCAGGGACCATGCTAGTAATTAAAAAAGAGTGGAAAACCACAGGACATTGCTGAGGGCCCTGCCCTGACCCTCTTTTGTTTACTAGTTTTGATAGAGTTTAGAAGAGGCAAGTAGAGATTATCTTTTTCAAGAGCTAGAGGGTTTTGTGGTGCAAATTCTTTTGTGCAACACTGCTGAGGAGAGAGACAGAGATTTTCTTTGTTCTAGAAATTCAGCCCATAGAGAGCTGCACTCCTCAAATGTTTAGACAGATAATTAAAGCAACAAAATTCAGGGCACCCTGAATATGTTTGACCTTGCTCACAATTTCATCTTCTTTAATCATAGCTCTTCCTTAGCTTCCTGTACAATGTACAAAGGACTCTCTTTGCCTGCTTGCACCATAATAGGCTAATCTGACATGATAGTCCCATGTTGCATTTTGGGAACACGTACCATATGGTCAGTAGCAAAAAGGATCAGGTGAAAGGCACACGATTTTTGTAAGTTAAAGAGGAAAAAATAACATAAAATGATCAGAAGGACATGCTGGTTTTAATGTAATGATATTGAAAAAACAATACCACAAAACCTTTTTTTTTCTCTTAGATGTGTTCTTTTTTGTTTTGTTTTTTTTTTAAGGGAAAGGGAAAACCTTTGAGGAATATGAACAGATTTAAGGGGTCTTTTTGTAATCATAGCTGAGGAAAATAGCAATGTTGGTCACATATAGGTATAAGATGGGGGAAAAAAAGGTGAAAATTGAAAGTCTTAATGGGACTTAAGGGATGCTGCAGCCTGCCAAAAAGAGTTTCAAAGTACTTGGTCCCTGCTGAACTCTAGAGGGAAAAGATACACTGTTCAGATGTTGCATGGTTTGTATGGATATGTGTGGGTAAGCCCCTCGGCCTGAAGCTCTCCTAGCATATGCATGTGTATGAGTCATGTCTGAATCCTGATGGTTCCTAGCTGAGCACCTGAGAATATAAAAACTGCTGTATTCCTTGGAAAACAAGTGCAAATTATACAATATGTATTGTATTACAGCACAGTCGTAAAGATAGACAGAAATGTTGAGCTTCTTGTTAGAGTGAAGTCTTCACGGTTCTACTTTCTTCCAGCAGCCTTTTTTTAGATGAAAGAATGGAGGTTTGACATACATGACTACACCACTTTTTCACCAAAAACCAGGCAGATCTAGTGCTATATATTTTTTCTTCATCAGTTTAGGAAAACAGAATTTTGATTTTGTTACACAGGTAAGGGAGATGCAATATCTGGAGGAAGGTAGGACAAGTTTCTGTCTGGCATAGCATAAGCCAGAGTATTACAATACTTGGATGATGCACAAGTCCTGAAGTTGACACTGCTGAACCAGCCCTGACTGTCTCAGTATCATGTTAGATCCTCAAGAGCTCTTGCAAGTCCAGACTCAGTCTATAAAGTTGCCTTAAAGTCTGTAACAGAGAGCCAGAGAAAGGGTCCCTTCCCAGAGGCTGTAACAGTCTAATAGACTTTATTAGTCTGGCTTTGACACACAGTGTTCCTAAAATGAAAAGGATCTTTAAGTACAGATAAGGGTGTCCAAGCTGCCTTTCTGAGTGAAAAATTACAATACTGTAGCTAGTAGTGTTTCACAAGCCCAAGAGAAGTAATTGTCCCCAGCAGTCATATTTGAAGTCCAACAAGCCAAATCCCTTGGCCGAATCTCATAGGTTCTCTTTAGTATAAGGTTCTGCATTCACTGATGAGTCAGTGCAGGGCAAACCAATTTTCTTCAGAGAAAGAAGAAACATGTGAAGGGGCAAATCAATTTTTCCAGTGGAGTCACTCCTGCACTCTCAGGATGGCTCTGAGTTCAGATGAGGAGTGTACATTTGAACTGGATCTCTCAATTCCCCCTACCCATGATTTCTTTATGGTCCAGAGCAGTGCTGGATTTTAAACCTGTATTCCTTATGGATGTAATTCCAATGAGTCCTTCAGACCAGATTACAGTGGGCCCAAAGTGAGCCCTTAAGTTTACATAGCATAGACAGTAGATCCTCCGCATGGATTGTTTCGCTCTACAGCTCCTTTCCTATTACACTAAAACCACATATGACTCTGACTACTGAACAAGAGGCTTGCCAGGAGGGTGAGAAATCACAACAGGACCACCAAGCTGACCCACAGCCTCTAAATCTCCTGCCACACCCTTCCTTTATGTAAATAACCTTAAATACTCTTTGGGCTGTTGGGGCTTTTTTTATGTCTTCTCGACAGAGAGTTTTAATGGAAAAAGATAAAATGTGTCTCCTGAGCTGTTTTCACATTTAATGTTCTATGAAAAATACTTCTCATATCCTGATAATATCATTTATCAGCATGATATGCAGTATAGATATAAATAGTTTGCTACTGTTTTTTCCTTAGAGATTAAATCCTTTTTCTTGCCTTCTTTTTGGGCTCTAAGAACTGTTCCACTGTATCAAGTCTGCCCTAAGTTGTGTCAGGAGCTAGACACTGCAATGAAAGAATGCTAGAAAAATTCCCTTCTTCCTTCAGGGAACTGGATGTACCAAGAGGATGGAACATTTGGGATGCTTTCATTGGTTTTTCCATTTAATCAAAATGCCTGCTGAGAATCAGAAAGATAGCTTATACTAAACTCTTTGAATGGGAAAATTGTTTTGGGAGGTTTTCCTGTAAAAATAATTTTTCCTATTATAATGTTCACTTTGTGATTTAAATTCAGAAGCAATTGTTTTATGGGGAAAGTATTTTGAAAATTCCCTCCTTCCCCCATATGTGAAAGTCAAAATATTCTTTTTTTTTTCAGAGACTTGATTGTATATTGTAGGGCAGGGCTATTTTTGTCAGAAATAGTAGAGTGAGTTTTGGAAAAACAGAGGTAAATTAGCTTAACCTTCCCTTCAGCTTAGAGCTGGACTGATCTTGAGGTTCTTGAGGGTCCCTGCCCTTTATACTGCTCAGAGGGAGTGCTGTTTGTTCCCATGTATCCTTCACAGTGTACATTTCCTGTATGAGACCATTGCTCCAACCATTGCAAACTGCCATGCAATTTCAACTTGTCTGAAAGTGAAGGCTTAAACTCTGGGCAGAACTTGTATAATATAGAAGTAGTGTTAAATTGTGAGGAGGATCTGTAGAGAATTTCATCTCATGACTTACTGGAAAAAGACCAGTAGTTTGGTATTTTATACCTCAGGAGAGTGACCTGTTCATCCTCTTATTAACAGTGAAATCAAGTTGTGTTTTTCTGTCAGACCAAACATTTGAACAGGCGCTTTTTTTTAATACATAAAGAAAAGAGACAGTACTTATTGCTTTTATTGATTTTATGTGCTGCCACACCTACAAACCAATAGTTCTTTCCAAATAAATCCATCCTCAGCTGTTCCTTATGCAAGGAATATTCAGTAGTTAGTTTGATGAGGCATGGTGAGGTCAGCACAGAACCTTCATATTGTTGTCTGTGTCCTATGGGGCAAAGTAAAGAAAATCTCTGTGCCAGGTTTTAGTGTTTCTCACTACAGTAAACCATAATGGTAATGTTAATGGTTACTCTTTTCACATGTACAAAGACATTCAGCCATACTAAGTTCTTAATTTTAAATTTACGCTTCAGTAACACAATTCTCTGCTCTATTTTATAAGAAATTGCTCCTAAACTTAGGGAGAGTAGTGGGGGAGGGAGGTTTGCTTGTGTTTTCTATTCTCTCCTATCCCATCCCCATATGTCCAAGAATTTTCCTTAGACCTCCTGATGCCCCTTGAGACCCCCTTAATAGGGAAGTCTTTGCTCCTCTCAGATGAAGTCAGAAGCACTGTATGTGAAGAGCCTAAAACTTCAACAGCTTGTTGTGATTCCTTATCTCTCCTGTTGAGTAGTACTGAAAACTGATGATGCCAACAGCAATGCAGCAATTATCAAGGAAAATTAACATTACTGAAATGCTTGATTTTCTCTTTGCAGGAAGTACCTGATAAGAACAAAACCAATGGACTATATTTTAGAGATGGGAAATGTCGGATTGACTACATCCTTGTGTATAGAAAATCTAATCCACAGACAGAGAAGAGGGAAGTATTTGAGAGAAATATCAGAGCAGAAGGACTTCAAATGGAAAAAGAAGTAAGAGATATTCCTTAAAAATACTTTCATGTTGAAGTTATATAGAATCTGGGGGTATGATTTGTTTACTCTGAAACTCCTTCACTCTGTTGTAGCAGTAGAAAAATGCTTTTAAGCATGCCTAAATATAGGCCAGAGCAGCAAAAGTGTAGCCTAAAGGAAAATCAGACACAGGGACTGAAGGCCAAACAGGCCATTACAGTCATCTTTTTCTACCTTATGCACAAGTAGGCTACAGAATTTCATCTGGTGTGCTGTGCAATACAAAAAACAAGTGCTGGGTTTGAATGGCCTGAATTCTACTGAGTGCAATCAATATTTTTGCACCTACATTTTCTTCCAGCTATGTGCTCCACTATTTGCTGAGGCTCCTGGTACTCTTTCCAGAGACCTAACTATATCCCTGCCTTCCTTTATCTATCAGCATAGGCATACAGACATGACAAGTATTTTAATAGTTTGAAAACAGCTAAAGTTTCTCCTGTCTTAACTCTAAGCATTGAAATAATTGGGCAGTACATATGAATCATTTATATCTACATTATTTCTTACATAATGTCCTAAATAAAATATATACTCTTTTATGGACAAGAGTGTAGAAATTAATGCTAAGTGTCTAAAGTGTATTGATATGTTAGGTAGCTGGAGCAAGGTTTAAAGAGACCATATCTCTTTTGCCAAGCCTATGATCTTCCTTAAACTTTGATAATGTGCTTAAGCAGGGCTTAAGCCTCACTTCCATCCAGAACAGCCATTGCTTAGTGTTTACTTTTATTTGTGCCTGGTGGACTCACACTCATGCTAATATGCATTGTCATACTGCCACTGATGGAAACAGAAGAGAAATTTTCAGGATATAGGTGTTACACATCTTCCTTTCTTTCACTGAATTCTTGGTACATGTGTAAATATTCTGTCTGTGTGCTTGACATGCACAGTTCTTTGGAGAACATTGGGGAGGGAAAAAGGGAAGCCTTTACAGAAAAATGAAAATTTTTCTTTTCTTTAAATGGTTTTGGTTGAACATGGGTACTGTATGTACCTATGTCCTGTATTACTGTGTATGTAAGTGTATTAAGAGCATTTTACTGGTTCCACCAAAAGTTACCCTAAACTATTCCTTCAAATAAGCTGGAAGTCATCATCTTCCGTGCTGCAGTAATTGATAGATGTTTTCAATGCCAGAGATTGTTCATTATTACATTTCCAGTATACGTGCTACTGCCTATAGGAGTTGTAACCCAACATTCAAGAACAGGGGAGTGTTGCTGCAACTATTCACCTTCCTATCCTAGAATTCTGCCCTGCTTCCACCAGGAGAGATGCTGACAAAGTCTTTAAAATTTGGGCAGTGTAGAAAACAAATGGGGAAGGAATCCTACCTATTAATACATATGTCCAATGGTTTCAAATAAATTTTTTCCTACTTTGTGGTTTTTGCAGATTTATTACTGTGCTAAGGTCAGCAGTGAAAGCTATGAAATCACTGTATATTTTAAGTATTATGAAACTTATTGCAACATTCTGTGCTGAAAACTTTTTCAAATTGATGATTTAAGCGCTTGCTATAGAGGATTTTTTTTTGGCTTTCAAGATCATTTATTTGGACTTTGCTGCCTAGGCTGCATTAATGATCTGCCAATTTGATTATTCATTTCAGTTTCTATTTTGCTAGTGACATGCAGTTTTATTTCTTACTGATCTCATTTGCCCTTGGTGTGACTTCTTGCCAGCATCAGTAATTGTACATTTTCTAAACACAGAATGATCAAAATGAGGTTGTGCTACATGACTCGGGCTAATGTTTTTAAAATCAAGGATAGAAATCTTTTTTAACACTCTGACCTAAAACTAAACTCTAGCATGTACATTTTATGATCATGTTGGTTTCTAAATTAAATTATAATCCTGAAGTAAATATATACATTTTTAGTACACTCTTTCCCCCATCTCCAGAGATTAAGAACAGTGCTGCATAACACTTAGCTTTAAACTTAGCTGAGTGATCACCTAGTGTCTAGATTATTTCTCATTATTTTTACTTCTCCTATTTTTGAGACTTTGCATCATTTTGAGTCTTAATTCTGGAAAATTTTAACTGCAGGGTTTTTTTTTTTTCAAGTTGTTCACATGCACTATACTGCTTCCACTGGAAAAAAGTTTGCTCCCAGATGAAATGAGAAAACTGCCTATTTCTTTGGCTACAGAACAATTTCAGAGGCAATAGGTAGTAACTGTTGGACTGAAAGAAATTTTTTACCTTCCATGAATTTTATGTGGTTATTGGTTCATTCTCTTTTGGCTACCAGCTGTTCATATCTTGGCATTTGATTGTGTTAGCCCTGTCCTTTTAACATGAAACCATTGGCAGAGAGGAAAATTTACAGAGCTATCCTGCACACTGCAATTTCAAACCCATATGCCTTACTGCAGGGAGGGAAAAGTGCACTGCAGTGGCTCACTGACAAATTCAGCACAGGGAAATTCCCAGGAAGTGGTGAATGCAGGGAGCAGTGCTCACTTAGCAGCATGAAATGAGAGAGGGAATCAGAAACAAATTCACAACAGCTGAGATAACTTCAGGCACAGTGTCAAGACCATGTAACTGAGAAAGGTCTGAGCAGATACATGTTTCTGACTCCAGGAAAAGGTGATAATGTTTTGCAGATATTCCCCAACAAATTCACACTCACAGTCTTCAACTGTACCACACCACTCTGCCTTGGAAGTTCTGCCAGATTTGGTGCTCAGTACATACAGTAATAAACAATGAGAGGATCCCAGACCAAGGAGCAGATAATTAAAACAATGAAAATTTTAACAAAAAAAGAAAAATAATAATAAAGAAAAAAATAATGATAAAATATTTTTAAAGGATGAAAAAATTAAAAATTAGAAAAATAAAATTAAATAGTAAAGATTTTAAATTGAAAACAAACCTCTAAGAGTGAATGCTAATTGAGTGATACAGCACAAGTCATTTTATGATGCTTCCCCCTGCTTTTCTGTGTATATTGGTTCTGGATAGGATGAGTGTGTTGACCCTGTCACAGCCAGACACCTGCAGACCACATTCAACACATGTGATCACATGCAGAGACGCTCAAATAAGGTAATCAGAACTGTAGGTAATTCCTGGAAAAGAGACTGTATTTTCTTTTCAGCCAGGTGAAGCAATTCCTTTGTTGATTTATTCTCTTTTCCAATGTCTCACAAGTGAGATAAGTAACTATGATATCCTGGCTCTGGGATCCTCCATGACCCTGCTGCTCTCATTTTTCAATACTCTTTGAAAAAGACTTATTTGTGGGGAAAATGGAGAGGACATTCTCCAAGTGGAGCATGTTCTTACAGGAGATGAGGTACCAATCACACTGTACGTTTGTAGGCACTGATACCACCTGTAAATATCACATGAGACTCATCCCTTACAGAGCTGGTGGGCAAAAGGTTAACAGGGTGTTACTGTCCACATTGTGATGGTACATTTCAAATTTATCTTAATACAAGATAAACCTGAGACTTAGATCAACCCACTGACATGCAGAAGAGAATGACTTGTGATCAGTTTTATGTGAAGAGAAAATATAGATAGCATCCATTCCAAATTAAATGTTTCTCCCTTTGGCCCAGCAATTTCTGGAAAACCTGTTTATTCAAGAGAGAATGAAGAGTCAGAATTACTTTGAGCCCATGGTATTTTTCACAAGAACAAATATTTATAAATTTAACCTCTTGGCCAAAATTTGGAGAGGTACCCTTTTACCAAATTATTCCTGCAGCATGAATTACCATTTACCTTTCCTAAATGACCAGGTAGAACTCGGTTGCCATCAAGAGTATCTATGCAGTTCTGGTAGACAAATACAGTATTACAGAAATGTTTCAGTAAGATACTTCAAACTATACTATCAAAATAGGTCATGCATGGAGGTGGCCAGCATGCAGCAGCTAACTTGTATTACTGATTCACTTGCAAACTTTTTAAGCTGCACTGTAAAGTAATGTAAATGCAGGATAGAGGTGAGAAATTTATGCTGGATCAACAAATACAGATTACACTTGCATGAGTAATTTGTACAAGAGAAAAAGAAGAAGGTCATCTTGCATTTAACTAAGAACAGTCTATCCAAAATGAATCTGATGTTGGGTTAGGATCTGATCATGTAGTCCTAGGAACAGACTGCATTTAGTATGAACATAGCATGATGGTTTTGGTTTTTCTACTTCTTATGACTACACCAAACTATGTCATACAGAGTATTTCTACTACTAAATGTACTTAATACATTATGCTTAATGATTTTGTTCAAAGTTTTTAATTTATAGATTATAAGTTGATTTCATGCAGTTTACTTGTGAAAGCTTTCTACTTGACAGACAAGTAGACAGTGAGTGATAGAAGTGAAGTAAATGGGAACTAACCACATGAGTAGTGAAAATAATATTCAGACCTTTTATTTTATATATTTTGTATATATATGGTAACTAATGTCTCAGTATAAAAGCAATTAACTACTTTAAACCAATAACATTCCTTACTGTCCTGGAAAGCTGGACTCCTCACAGCTACTGCATGCACAATGTGCTTCAGAAGCTAACTTCAGATGTTTTGCAAGTAACAGCCAATCCATTTGGACTTCTGCTGGCACATTGATCTTTGCATCTCCCTGATAAATGATGTCAGTGTAGTGCTGGTCCAGCTTTTGGAAGAATCCAAGTTGTGTGGGTTTTTGACTTACATGCCTGATTAGAGATTTAAACTTTGCCACCATAAGTGTCAAGCTGTCACCAGGGCACCTCTAATTGCATTTGCTCCCTGCCTCAAGCAGCAGCTGACATTTCTGGTGCAACATCTGGCAGCAAAAACACAGCTGGTGTATACAATAGGCAGTAGAAATACATAATAGTTGTTCTCTGGGGAAAACCCAAAACGACAAGAAAGAAAGGCACAGTATAAGCTTTAGCTGTATTGTATGAACAAATATCTACTAGTGGGT